GCTCTTATGTTATATATGGACACACTCGTTTTTTTACACTCGTTTTTTTTAAAACTGAATATAAGTATTTTCCTTATGGCTTTATTTATTACAAACATATTCTTTCAACATCATTACACATTGAGGCCCTTTTTTAATATGTTAAACGATCTATCTTAAATTTTCTTTCTTGAGTTTGGGACTATGTGTTATAACTTAGAAGGCAAAGGTGAGCAAGCACAAGCTTTAACACAAAAAATGCGCGCGAAGCGCGCGAAAAAATGTTTGTTTTTTAAATTCCAATTTCGTTGGAATTGATCAAAACTCCCTAAAATGTGCAATTTTTAGAGGAAATTGGCCTACTTCAACAAAATATGCGATTTAAAATTTGAGATTTTCAGGCACTTTCCCGGGTGAAAAGGGCATTCAATGGGGAAAGACTTTCCACAGCTGGATATTTTCCCCTTGTCCCCCGGTTATTACGCCACTGCGGAGAACACCTGGCGGCTTAGATCAAATGCGCTATGGACACTTTTTGAAGTGGAGAATGGGTTGCAGGCAGGGGTATTGTGATATCTGTTCATTATATCTTCCTTTTTATTCTTGTCTTTATTTTTCTCTTCTCTTTTCCTTTCTCTTTCTTTCCCCTTCTTTCTCTTTCCCTCCCTCTCCCCTCTTTCTTTTCTCTTCTTACCCAGCCAGCCCGGTACGACGGCTTGGTCAGCCCGGTAAAAACCGTCAGTGGGGGGGGGGGAACAGTCTTCCCCTGCCCCGCCTGTTACGCCACTGTTTATAGGATGAATGGGAATATGAATCATGCAGATCTGGAATCAAATCTAGGTGGTGGGGTCAACATTCCTCCCCAGGGAAAATTTCGATTTCTAGATGGCGGGAAATGAGCTTTCCCGACTTCTGAGGTGTCTTTTAAATACTTTTTTGTTCTTCAAAATTCAAGGTTTTCCCATCTTGAAAACGGTCTGGTAATTTTTTCCCATTGTTATTACAGTAAATAGGGCTTATGTGTGTATACATACATAACAATTTGAAAAAAAATGAGTAGTTGCATACGAATTTTCCATGAATCGATGAATCCCAAAAAGAAAGGGGGGTCCGGGGGTTCTTCCCCAGGAAAAATTTTGATTCCTAGAAGGCGGGAAATGAGCTTTCCCGACTTCTGAGGTGTCTTTTAAATTAAAGTCATTAAAAAATACTTCAGAAGTCGGGAAATCTCATTGTTCACCATTTAGAAATCAACATTTTCCCGGGAAGAACTCGAACATCCTTTTCCCTGGGTTCATTGATTCATTATAATAATTTTCAAGAGGGGAACACCTTGAATTTGAATTTTGAAGAACTTAAAAGTAATTAAGTTCTTCAAAATTCAAGGTTTTCCACTATTGAAAACTTTCAGATAATTTTTTCCCATTGTTATTACAGTAAATATGCCTTATGTGTGTATACATACATAAAAAAAGAAGTTGCATACGTAGTTTTTCCATGAATCGATAAATCCCAAAAAGAAAGGTGGGGGGGTGGGGAGGTCCTGTGGTTCTTCCTCGGGAAAATTTTGATTCCTAGATGGCGGGAAATGAGCTTTCCCCGACTTTTGTGGTGTCTTTTAATGATTTTTAAATTCTTCAAAATTCAAGGTCCCCCCCACCCCTTGAAAATGATTCAATTAATCAATGAACTCCAAAGATAAAGGGTCCGGGTTCCCCGGAAAAATTTCGATTTCTAGATGGCAGGAGATGAGCTTACCTGACTTCTGAAATGTCTTTTAAAGT